TTAAATTAACAAATTAAATAATATTATAGAAAATATTTAACTGTTTCAGTATGAATACATACAACTTCACTGATTTCTGCATTTGTATCTGTTTTCATACTTGAACAATACAAATTGGTGACACACTGTGTATAATTTTCCATTTACTGAATTCCAGTTTCTGTTTTTTCCATTAATGTTTTTATTATCAGATATATTTCATTATACATTTACAATCTTTCATAAACTTTTACAAATGCAATAAGATTGATAGGAATACCGAGTTTGCGAATAATTTTAGTTCTTCCTATGCTTGCTACTCGATATACCGTATACACTTACAAAGTACATGTTACCTTAACAAAATCATTTCGATCTTTCATTTTTATTACAGATTTGAGAACGTTATGATTGTTCGACATCACGGATAATATGCGAAGTATAAAGTCACTCGTCTTTTGAATTCGATAGAGCCACGTTCATCTCTTATGTTCTTTATTCCGAAGTATTTGTCACATTCAAAATGCAAACCTTACCTATACCATCACTCATCTAAGGGAATGTAATACCAGATCAATAAATATCTTATACAAGAATGTATAACTGGTGAGGATTATCAAATTCCTCCAATCGAAAATCGTAGATTTCAATTCTCGGTATGCCGATTCCCAATTAAAAAGAGAGAGAGACAGAGAAAATCACATAACATTTATACAATATATCCCATGTGACGCTACAAAAAAAATCTTTATGTCAGAAAAAGAAAGTAGTGATAGATGTTAATAAACGAAATGCGCAAAAAATGCATGTGCGCATTACGCGAGATATTCTTGATGAAAGACAATAAAAAAATATATATTATACACAACAATCCCCTAAACAACTACACGACAAAGCATGTCTTATTCCAATTTTCATAATTGTATCTCCAATATTTTCTTTTATTTTTAATATAACGTTCACATTTTGTCATCTTTGTCTCTATATGTCTATGATTCGCACTTATAAAAAAATCATACGCTGAAAAAATTTATTGACTCGACTGAATTATACCAAGCTGAGTGAAGTGATTTTTCATCGCGCCTAGAGAGTATTTATCGCTCTCTGCTATTTCGTTAGGTCTAACTCGGATGAAGAATGCATTTATTATACAAATGTTCAACAAAATGCATATTTCATGGATATAAACATTGAGTCAGTATGCAAGGACAGAACTTGTTATCTGTATTTTTGCTTCTTTTACTGTACGTTCAAAAACCAATTATTAATATAACTTTTTCGCCTGTGCTTCCTTATTGTCCCTATAGAAGGATAAACAAAGAATGAGACACTGTTTTCTTAATATGTTTCTTCACGTAAATATCTAAAAGTTCATACTTACCGGTACATACTGTATGCAAACAAAATCACCATTTGAAGTGCCACAAATAATAAGAACATTGTTGTTGTTAAACAATTTGTTGTAGGACAATCTCCACCGCCACTATTTAGTTTAGTGTTTACTTGTCCAACCTCTCTCTTTAACGTTTTGAGCCCCTCTTGTATTTCAGAAATGAGTGAATGGTATTCGTATCCCATCGGTTGCACCTAAAATTACATTTTTTCATAGAATATGTCGAAGAAGACATTGACAAAACGTGATAATAAATGATAAATACACACTTGAGCAGTCGGAGCACGAGCTTGGTTGTTAAGAATGGTATCAGTCTTAGTGTATATATCATTCGCGAAAGATTTAGTTTCTCTGACTGTATTCAGTATAGCATTTTGATTTGCCAATAAAGTGTCAACTTCTTGCCGCCGTATTGTGTCAATTAATTGAACTTGTTGACCTGGTTGGCCACCTGTTGCTTGTATACCTACAAATAAATTATTTATATGTTACTTGAAAACTTCTTTCACTGTTTATAATAAAAGATTTATGTTAAATTACGCGCGATCCTTAAATTGAAAATTACCTCCTACTTGAAGCTGAGATATTAAACTGAGTGATCGTTCCTGCCTTCCAATTATTTCATCTGATTTTTTATTGAGTTCACGTAAAGAATCATACACTTGACTTAAGCCAGAATAAATTTGTAACAGTTCCCTTTGATTGTCAGTTTCAAAGTATTCCTCAAATTCTTTTTCACGGCGTGCTTCAGGATGTTCCCTATGAAATGATAGCATTCAAGAAATTTTTATTTTATGTACAATTATGAAATTACAAGTAATTCTCTTACCTGCGATAATCCTCTTTCTGTTGATCTAATTTTTTCTGGTAATCCATATATTCTTGACTAAGCTTTTGCTGCTCCTCCATAGAAACTTTTTGCCCATCATATTGCACTTGACCAGGAGGATACAAAGAATGCGTCAAAAAATGAGATACATCATGATCGTCAGCCAAACCACCTTAAATGAATCATAACATCATAAATAAGTGTCCAAATTAAAGTAATTCTTAGTTTCTGCAATACATACCTGTAGCAGCAGAAACTCCAAAGTATCCACCTTTCGGTAAAACTACGTTTTCAACGCGGAAACATACTTCATAACTTTGATCGTCATTTGTCATTCCATTGTGGAATAGTACCTTCAATAAACAATGACAAATAGCTATGATAAATAGATACTTACAAAAGACAATATATGAATGATCTTACTGTTAAAATGTTCTGGTAATATTCAATTTTTGCTCTTGTTGCAAATGGTTTGTTACGGAAGTCTCGCAAACAACCAGCAGACAATTGTGTTGCAGCATCACTGTAGCAAGATTAATGATATTAACTGTTAATTTTTAATTCTTATTGTAAGGTTTAAAACATTAAAACAGTAAGAAATGTAATTCACTTAGAATGATCAAAAATCTTCGTGCCATCGTTGAGAACAGCCATGATGTAAGGGTTATTATGTTTATTGTCATTATCGAATGAATCAAAGAAGAGTCCAAGACCATTCCACTGATCAACGCTGCCGAAGACAGTGCCATTGTAAGCCCCCTTCGAACTAGTATACCAAAATGCTAAACCATCTGCTCCAATTCTTCCTCTTCCTGTTACTCTAAATATTAACTCTACTTCCCACCAGTCAAAGTTAACTGGCTGTTTGATCCATATTGCACCTAAATATCATTTTAAATTCTTATAGTATTGTAGAAAAGAAATAAAAAGTATAACAAACATTTATTCTTCCATATATAAATGAAGAAAATAAAACATATAACACTATAAATTTAACTAATTTAATAATATTAAATGTTACCATACAAGAGACCATATGTTTGTCTCAAAGTATTTTACTTACATTAGAAAATATCTTTTGCTATTAATATATTAAAAAACTAGTAGCACCTTTACACACATTTTAGATTTACACAAATTATTTGACATTAAAGAAATTATCTTTAATATTTTCATATTTTCACTTACCTTTTTGACTTCTCAATGATGGAGCTACTCTCACATTTTCTGCACTCGCGATTGCATCTATAATAAAAATAGATGTCCTATCAAATATTTGTTATAAATTTATTAATCACAATATACGATAAAAATAAAATTAACGATAATAGTTTTTAATTTGCCATCAAAAAATCATTGAATGGAAAGAAACTTTTAACAATTTATCTCAAAAAATGGAAATAGATACACTTGTGTTTTCATTACTCAAAGTAATTAAAACAGTTTACAATGTAAATAAATACATATAAACCTGTCGTGACAGTTTTACTGACTTCTGTCAAATAAACATTGTCCATTTTAATGAACAAAGTGGTCAAAAGAAGAGGAGTCATTTAGTGTTTGTGTTTAGGAATGAAATACGAATACACTTTATTTAAATAATCGAAATGCCGACTAGGAGAAAATAACATACGGAAGTATTTTACAGCATGTGTATACTTGGTTAGGTTTCAACATTACTCACTTCCTCCGTATTCCCAGAAAGGCACACTGCCATCTTTTTGTGCGAGATACGGTGGTTTGAACGAGTACTTGTATTCAAATTTCCGATGAGGTATGTCGCCGAGTACCGTATTAATTACCAAAAATACATGAAAAATTAAAAGCCACCTCACCTCGGCGGCCATCTTCATTTCGACTGTTGAGTCGAAAGTAAATTGACCACATTCAACCCTGCAACCGGTAGAGGTGATTGGTGGAACCATTTGATTTCCTCTTTTGATTGGTGTATTATCAATGACGTGTCAATTTTGTGGCCACATTTCAAAGGTCTGTCTTTCACCGGCAATTTGTTTATATACTTCTCTGTTAATTCTACTATATTGTGCGAGATTTAATTCATGAGAGAAATCAACTAAAAAAATAAGAATCTCATTAATTATATATGAATAAACATCTTCTGCAGAGTAAACGTTCGTTAGTTTTTGTGGACGTGTCATATGAGAATATGGCGTTATCATGAATAAAGTATCAGTGTAGATGTAACAAGTGAAAATATTATGACTGATTAATAACCTATCTACGACTTATCAGTTGTATTGTATTTCTCAGATATGCAAACACTTTATACTTTCGAGGATAAGCGGAAACTAAATGTGTTTTTTAATGTTATCACAGCATTTAATTTAACCAATGTATTTTCAGATGTTTTAAATAATAAAACTTCTCCATGTGATTTGAAAGTTTAAAGAGATGGAGGTTCAATGTAAACAAGTGTCAACTAAACAAATATTTTATCATGATTAAATTAAACAGATTTGAGGAAGCTCAGGCTATAATAATAAGTATTCCGATTAAGCTAATATGTGATATTAAAGTCAACAAATTGATATCTACTTAATTTTTACTTTGATTATTGAAAATTCGTATGAACTTAAACCATATTGAATGAGAAATTATCAATTGTTATCGGTAAGAATAAGAAGATTCAAAAGATAGAATATACTTATCGTTAAAATCATTGAAATAAGCTACGTGCGGTATACATATATCATTTTTTATCATGTCTAGTTAATGGTATTCGATGTTTATCAGAAATTAATTTCCTGTGACAAGATACATTCCACGTTTACATTAATTTATTTAATGAACATACCGTCCCTATCATAATAATTATTTGAAAATCCGCCTTTTAAATTCTCCTAATTCCGTTCTATCACAGAGCAGTTTTAGTATAGTCACAGAAAATTCTTATAGAGATGTGTAAATTCCGTACGAAACGAATCTCAAAACTTTGAACTCAATTGTTCAAGCGCATACAAGTTTATACTAAATGAACATAGCTTCAAAATTGCATATCTGACTTTAGGGGTCGTCAGTCGACATAAGTTTGTGCGTAATATTCAGTTCACATAAAATTATTTATACTTCTCAAACACTGTTTTCTACCTTATATTATCAATCAAATATCGCCACGTTTTTTAATGTTTGCAATTTTTCGTGTCGTCTCTTCGAGATATCGGCCACAAACTTCTGAATAACATATTTATAATATGTTCAAGGCTCGAGTTCGAGTAACTTTTGAACCATTAGAGATATTGCAATGAAATTTTCACTAAATATATTTAAAAATAGTTATTTCCAACTATAGATAATTAAATATTTTTGCATTTGTTAAACACTACATTCATTTCCATTGATATTTTTTATTTAAGAAAAATTATTTAAATATAATTTTACTATTTTTTACTTTCTAAATATATGTATTATGTTTATGTTTTATATATATAACGTTTTATGGAATAAGTAAGATATACATTTAAGAAATATTTGTAATCACAACATACAATAATGACCAGAAAAGTAAAAACACATCGCATGTGTGTCAACAAATATTTTTCCATAAACCATAAGAGATATTGACACAAGATATGAGATCAATAATGTATTAATGTTATGCAATAAATAGGTTTAAAAAATCATAAAAATTATTTTAAAAATATTTAATTTATTATTGTTCTATAAAGTGTATTATTGTATCTCTGCATGGGGCTTTCTGAGCCTCCTCACAAACCTACCCAATAATGCCTTTTGAATTATTTCTGCCTCATGTATTAATAAATTATGGACTGAAATTGTCATATAATACCACCCATAATATTGTGCTGTATCTTTTATATATTTTTAAAATTCTTCGATATGTATTTTGTATAGGGCAATGATCTGTAGTAAAGAATAGAATTTTTATAATTAGTATAGACTTATTATGGTTATTCCAAATTTATTTAATACAATGAATAAGTAGGTATATACTTGTCATATAATCAGCTATAAATTGTTAATGTGTTTATTCGAAAGTACCTGTAATATAAAGTGAAATTTTTTTATTACTACTTTGTCAATTTGGGTGATTTTTGCTAAAATTTTCAAATAATAAAATTGACGTGTTGTATTACCATCGTTTAACAAATTCCAACCTCATCTTTTCTTTAAATTCGTTCTATACACATTGTTTTGTTTTCATCTTTTTCTTTCTTCAAATTTGCATCCACTACAGATGTATGATGTGTAGTAAACATTCCATACATCTTATCCATGTATAATCCACACATCTTATCCATCTTATATCTCCAAATTTTTTAATCTGGATTGTCTGGTTTGTTCAAACTTTCTATTATCTGTGAAACAATACGATTTAATATGTTTTGCATATTAAGTTTTAATAATTTTTAATAACAAAGCCAAGAGTTACTATTATGTATTATTGCTTGATTCCTTATTGTGATGTACTGGAACAGTTCTGCCATCACGAAAATATTTCATGCCTTTTGTGGGCAATACCTTTTGTCTTTGGCTGTATATCCTTTTATTCAAATTTTCAATGATTTTATTGTATTTGTCATTTGCTAAATATTTCAACAAGCATGCTTTAGAATGCATCCCACGTTTCCTGAGCTTCATTCCTGCAACGTTCAGTAATTCCGATGAAGTAAAATGATTAATTAGATACTGAGCTCTTCTTATTTGCTCTCTATTACTGTATTGCAAAAGTGATCCTTTTACTTTATACACGGTCACTATGGATGATTTTAGTTCTTGAGCACTTGTCGAAAAAGTATCTGTTAAGATTTCATTTGGATACAAGAAATCTCTTTCTAACCACTGGTTGTGATGTTTGAAGAAGTAGGTTTTGCTGTAACTACACTTTATCCATTTCTCCTTGAGTTTAGAAGCAAACTTCCTTAACTTAATTTTTAATTCTTCTGATTTCTTAGAAGAAATATTCATCCTTTCTTCTATCTTTTCTTTTAGATATAAATAGTCACCGATATCTCTCTTAGCATTTCGTAAAATAAGGAATAAATCTTTATTTGTTCGAAATCCTTCCATTTTTTTTTATGAAATCTGAATAGCAAAGAAGAAAATGTTACACAAAGGAAACGACTCGTAGAATAAAACTAAGTTCTTTCATACTTACCAAAGAAAGATAGAATAAAATTTAACGTTAATGAAATATGATATATAGGTATTTAAGTATTTAATATAAAAAAAGCTGTATGAACTAACGTATACTGAACTTAACCAAGGGGCCTAAGATGCAACAAATTTCAATATTTGAACCTTCTTTACAAATAGAATTTCAGGACACGTGCTTCAGATCTCACATGGCGCGTGTAAAATAAAGGCGCGTATCCAGTTGAGAATAAACTTTTGACAGTTGTTCTATACAGGGTGTTCCAAAAATGTTTCGCAATCCGGAAATGGGAATTTCCTCAGGTCATATGAAGTCACTTTTTCCATAGCGAAAATGCAACAATTTCGCTCATTAGCTCGGCCGTCTCACGCCAGCTGATCTCGCCTCTCATTGGTCACTGCGGATTGTATTTTCCCTAAGGAAAAGGTTACTTCAAATGACCTTAGGGTCCCTTCATTTTTGGGACACTCTGAGAAATTTTTGGGACACCCTGCATGTACATATGTAGTTTCGTATATGCGGGACTCGTCAGGCCGGACAGCCAAGCTATGCTGCTAGCTGCAAGTAGCCCTAGTACGACGACAATAACGCAAATTTATTGTAAGTGAAAAAAATTTACAATCAATAAGTAGCAGTGCTGAAATAATAGATTTTATAAATGAATGTGACGAAGAAATAGCAAGCATGAAGAGTGAAAAGATTAATAATGCTAACATTTCATTTTATGAAAATATATGCTTACATAATATTTTATCATATAAAAAGAATTTTAATATATTCAAATTTATTATTTATAAATTATATCTAATATACTATGATATTGATAATAATGAAACACACTCTCCATATCTTATAAAAACGATAATCAAATAATGTTTAAAAATTAAACTCCATTATATGTATTCGAAAGTAAATGATAATGATACATGTAGATAACAATTTACAAATTAATTTAACATAAACACTAATGATTATATGTATCATACATATGTACGTGTCGTATAATAAATACTTTATAAAAAAGATGTGGAAATCCTTTGAACCAAAATTTCATTTTATTGCATTATTTTAATAATTAATTTCAATTTTATCAAATATAATAATTCATTACACTTATTATTTTATGTATATGGATATTATCAATCTCTATAGCCTTAAATAGAAGGCAAGCAGTTATTCAGGTAAAATATGCTATCTTAATTGCAATATATATTAAATAAATATCAATTAGCAAAAGTTAATTTTTTGACAAAATGTCACTGAATTTTTCGACCCGGAGCACTGCGCCCCATGGCGCCAGAATTCACAAGCAGTACTCACTTCTGATTGGTCCATGTTTTTTTTTTAATAATTCATTAACAAAGTCGCAACCAACATTTGTACTGTCGAAGAAATCACATACTTTCAATCATCTCAAAAATCACCTTCTTTTAAGGACTTACGACAGTTTCTGGGACACCTTCTATAAGATTACTCTATGCCTATGTTGGCTACCATTGTTCTCAGCTGATTTCAGAACGCAGCTGTTCCAAATCCAGTGTTACATGGATGGTTTAGTTTACACTCCCATTTACACATCTTCAATGGAAATACGTTTAAGATGGCGTCGCTCATTGACAACTATGAGCAAGAATACGCCGTTTTGACAGCTGACATAACTGCGAAAATCGGTAGAATAAGGACACAGAGCGGCAGTAAGTACAGACAAAGTAGAATCGTAGAAATGATTATGTTTCACACCTTCGATTTTTATTTTTGATGTGAATATCAGTCTTTCAGCAATATTAAACAACAATAATCGATACACGTGACGTAATTTCAGATGAGAGGAGAACATTCGTCCAAGATGTGGACAGGCAAATTAAAGATGCTCAGGAGCTGGTAAAAGAAAAACTACATTGTATTTTTCTGGTTTTTTAGAAATTTTAACATACAGATATTTGAGCTTATTAGAAATTACAAGTACATAGTTTGTTACATATTAGGGTTAGACAAGAGTCGTTTTATTTTCCGTTTATGGAAAGTTAATTATCTACGTGTTAATATTTCTGTAAATTTTAACAGTAATATAAATAATAGTGCTTGATTTCAAAATATCCTTTAAATATAACAATTAGGATTTTTAATTTAGCAGTCATACCTTAGAAAATCAAAGATAAACTAAACCTTTTAAGTTGTGAAAGCTTTGTCTTATTGAGTTTTCAGAGAATAGAAGTTTAATAAACAAAAGTTTCATATGATTATGGATACTTTGTACAATGCTTAATATATTTTTTAATTTGTGGAGTGTGTGTGTAATTAATTAATCTTCATGTGGTGATCAGTTATAAAAGAGGGTTAATAGTTATATTGATATAATAAAATAGAATCAATAGAGTATAATTACTTGAGCTGTTCTTTTGACTTTGGATATAGCATTCTTAATTTCAATGATTCTTCAAATTTATTTAACCATGTTATTGTGTGAAATTTATATTAAAGTTTCTCTGAATTTGTTAGATTCCAAGTCTTAACTTTTAAGAAGAGTCTTACTAAATTAGTATGCAAAACATCAAATTTTGTGTAGAAAATGTTCAATAATGTTCAAATGTAAAAATGTTCAAATGTTTGACATTATATATTTGTTATGTCACTTTTGTTTGTTCAACTTCAGCTCGAGCAAATGGAATTGGAGGTTCGTGGGGTGACTGGTGCATCCCGTGACCGCTTACGTGGTCGAGTAGAAAGTCACAGAGTAGAACTAAAACGATTGACTCAAGAATTCCAATCGGCTAAAATGCCAAAAGAAGACAGCATTGAATTAACCAGAGATGATTCCTGGGATAACGGTATTACAGAGGATCAGAAAGAAAGATTGTTGGATGCTTCAGAGCGGATAGAACGAAGTGGACGGACATTACAAAATGGTTATCGAATGGTACTAGAAACAGAAGAAATGGGTTCTCAAGTACTGAAGGAATTGCACAGTCAAAGGGAAACGATTCAAAGAGGAAGGGGAAGAGTAAGATATTATTTTCAATTTGCATCTTAACTATTCAAATCAAATGTTTTCTTCTGATGATAAAATTATCATGACTTATAATTAAATAATTAATTGTTATTACATAAATTATTGTTTTAGCTACGTGATACAGATGCAGAGCTGGGACGAGGTTCTCGGTTATTATCAGGAATGATATTCAGAACTCTTCAGCAAAGATTTATTTTAGCGGCAGTTGCGTTGACACTAATAATTGTTGGTTGCGTTGTCGTATATTATAGCTTTAAATCTAAAAGCTAAAGCTGCAAGTAGAGTGATATCTTGGTCGCAATGAGGTTTTTGAACCATATTTATTATCAGTGAGTTTCAAATGTTATTATTACATTGAATGTAGTGTGCTGTGGTCGTTAGTAACTTATAGTTTGGAGGGATGTCGTACCATTTTTGCTTGTTTCATCATTTTCGTTCCGTATTTTATATTCATTTTTTATTAAGAATCACTTTAAATCCTTGATATGGTTTATAATTATACAGTTGCCAAACAGGAGGAAACAATTGTAATGTATTAGTAGTAATAAAAGAAAAGCATCTCCTGTCTAGTTACAATGTTATAAGCAAATCTTTTGAAGGTCTACGAAAATTTCAAATCATATTCACGATCTTCTAGTTATCCATTTGTTACGTGAATTCTGTAGATTGAAAAACATTGAGTTCGCCACTGTAATTAACGTTCAAGTATCCTACTTTGTACTAAATCCAGAATTCGACGAATTATTGTTATCAATAAAAATATACATCTATAGTTAGGCAATAATATGTATCAAAATACAAGGATAAGAGTTGGAGAAGATTGTAGCTAGATGTGAAAAGTATCAAGGGTTGATTACAATTAAAATTAAATCAGACGCGCCTAATAATAACTCATTTTATTACTTATAATATTGTCAATTACCTTAGTAGCCTAAAACGGTGCTTATTTTTTCGCTTGCGTTTTTATGCAATCGTGAAAATGATATAATAAAAGTTGCGCGGAATAACGAACGTATTCGATGACGGAAGTGACTTCTGTGGGTGCGACATAAAGGCATTTCAATCCTTCCTGTCTTCGCTGCTCCCAATGCTAATGAAAACAAATCGAGATGAATGTTCAGTCTGGTCAGTCCAAATGTCGGTAGAGATCCTCTATCTGTGGTGTGAAGTAGTCTTTCAGCTGAGGTCGTTTTGTTTTCAATGTCGGCGTGAGGAGGCCGTTTTGGACAGAGAATGGGTCCGGATGTAAATAAATATCTTTGACCTGACATTAAAAGAAATAGTATTAGAATGTGAATTATAAAGAGCTGTACACAACTAGACTGGAATTTTATTTCTATTCGGATCACAACATTCTTAAGGAAAAAGATACTTCTTTTAAAAAAGCAAATATGGTAAAATGGTTCTTTCTTTGCTTCGTAAAAATTTGAAGATCAATGATATTATTTTCGCGGAATCGAATAACGATTTAATTAATTTATCTTGTTTCCTGTAGAAAAGATTTAAGTTATTCATAACATACTCAATTTAAAAGTTTACTTAATGTTGCATTAATATGTTTAATATGTCCAGTCGTAGTTGCCATTCTGTATACTTTCAAATGTTTCTAATTATTTTGAAGAGAATAACAAGATTGTCTAACTTACTGTAATTCACGTATGCTTGATTCCCTAACTTTTTCAAATTTATATGCGGGATTAAATTGTGCAAGCATAGTTTTGCTTACCTGCTCAAAGGATTTGAGGCCAGCTTCTTTTCCCCACGCAAGCATGTCGTCTATGATTAACTGTTTGATTTGTGGATTATTGCATAATACGCTTAGCGTACCCGAAATACCATTCTCCACTGCCCAACATTTTACAACATCCACATCCGGTACTACTATTCCTACAACGCAAGATTTCAGGGATTCCCCGTGAACGAATACTTGATGTACATATTGACTGCGCAAATAAATATTTTCAATCTTCTCCGGAACTATGTATTCTCCTTGTGACAGCTTAAAGATGTGTTTCTTCCTGTCGATTATTTTAAGCGTTCCGTTCTGCCAAAAGAAAATTAGGATTAACAATTAACGCAAAAGTAGTTCTCTGTATAAAGAACGAAATAGTTTTCTGTTCAGAACGCATGTAGGTAGAAAGGAAACGAAATGGTACTACATCCTCAATATTTGTATCAAGCAAGAAAAGTGTTATTGAATGATTATTATCTTACAGGCAGCCACATGCCGATGTCTCCCGTATGATGCCATCCGAATTCGTCGATAACTTGAGCAGTTTTTTCAGGATCCTTGAAATATCCCACGAACACGTTAGTGCCCTTCACGCACACCTCGCCTTTGCTCTTTCTGGCATAGTATTCCATTTCCGGGACATCTACTAATTTGACGCAGCAGCAAGCAACCGGTGGACCTACGTGCTCCGGTACATAATCACCCTGTGATAATTTCAAAACCGTGAATAAGATGTTGAATATAGGAATTAGTAAAGTTGAATCGAACTCAATTATCCATTTAAAGCCAGTTCTGCTTATTTTGTTGTTTAAGAGTCGAGAAACGCCTTTGCAAGTTCACAGAGCCATTAGGTTGATGATAGTTCTGTAGCAGTTTTAAATGGCTAATTGTTTTTGAACCAACTATGGGCATGAGAAGTTGAACATTTATTGCACACACTATTAAAATGTTACAGAACAATTGTTACGCAAATTGAATGTTCCTTTTGGGAACATGTTCACTAGTTATCGTACAATAATGAACGTAAAAAATATAACTGTTCGTTTTAGTGATGTTAAGGATGCTTATTATAAAGATACGTTAGTTGGAAAAGTAAATTCAAAAGAGAGGAGCTTTAAAAAAGAGGAGATTTAAATTATATACATCCATCGAAGTCTCAAACATCTTTTATGTGATTGATTGATGGAAGTATATAA